ATTTCAAACCACATGTATTTGAGCTATGTCTCTGGGATCAGGGGATGGCTGCAGACAAGTTCTCAGCAATCCACGTGTCTGAATGTCATTAAAGTGACTTCAAAAAAGGGATAATTTGGGAGCCATGGGGAGGAGAATTTGGGGGGGGCCAAGGTTAATATCAAATTGTTAACAAAACTCAAATAGTCTGTTTCCTAAATCATCAAAACTTTGCAATACGTTTATGGAAGTGTTGAGCCACATAAAACACCAGTTTTTAGATGGATCAAGCCTCTTGCTCTAGCATCTGGAAGACCTCAGAAATGAGCCAAAGGAGGGGAGACCATCAGCGTCAATGAATAAATTATGGCTAAGGTCCAAACACAAGAAGACGATGCCTGCAGACTTGCCACTAACGTGATAGCTCCTGAAACGGATCTCCCATGGGCCAGCACTTTCCATTTTCAGTGAGCATCATGGCCTCGCCAGCTTGTTGGGTGCCAATCGTTGCACAGAGACCCGTCGTTAGCCCCAAGAGCTGATCGTTTCAACACTCTTTTAATCAAGATTGAAGCGAATTCAGACAATGTTACAGAATGAACTGTAACGGTGACAAGTCTGGGATTTACCAATATCATCCAGAGACCAAGGTTCAATCAAGACCGTGGTTTCGGGGTGTAGGGGGGGGGATCTGTAGGGCCAGCTAAATTCAAGGCACAGAGAGGGGTCAGTTGGAAGGATATAGAGACTATTTTTCTGAGATTACAGAGGTCAATCTTAAAAGATGTTTACAAGGAACACAAGATAATCACAAGAGTTTAAGAAGTTTTAAGAAAACTGAAAACCATTGCATTGGTGAGGAAAGGACCAGAGGAGGTAACCAAGGAAAAATTCTCTCTCCAAATAATGCACCCCTCTGCATGCTGCAAGGTGGCAAGGGCTGTTCTGTACGAATTTCATTGGGCAACCTTACCTCACTTACCCTATGACCCTGATCTTACCCCTTCACACTTCCTTTTGTTTCCCAAATTCAAATAACACTGAAAAGGAACACAGTGATGTCAATACTGCTCTTCTGCTGTGATGTCAATCAAAGAGCACAGAAATCGTGGGGTGAGAGTTAGATAGATGCAAACACTGCCTTCAGAATGTACAGACAAATAGCTTCACATCTTAATATTTTTGTTTAATAAAGATTTCTATGATTTTTGCAGCAGTACTTTTGACTTATCCTCATGTACATAGAATATGTAATGCATAAGTGAACTGACATTTTAAAAATTTATATTGTAATTTTGTTCTCATCCAGTATATGAAGGACAATTTCTATATTCTTAAGATATAAGAATAATTATTTTAATTTCACAAGAAATTACAGCAATGTTATGGACTTTTTCATCTTTGATATGCAAATGTTAATTTTTAAATTCATCACAATAAATATTAAGTGAAAGATAAGCCTTTTATTTTCTACCTTTACAGTTAAGAGCCCCTGCAGAAAAGGTAAAATGTCAACCTGCTATCCAGTAGGATTTCATCAGTAAGCAGAAACACTCAGGTACAAATTAAAATAATCTGATGGCTAGGAATTTCACTGGTATATACTAAAGCAAGGCACAGTTGGATTTGAAATATATTTATATTTCTTTATGGCTAGAGGAGGACCATGCTACAAATACATGTATACAGACAGAGCAACACCTTTACCAAGAGAAATCTTTGAACACACATGTGGCGAGCATACGGCTTTGGTTCAGAGGAGCGACACAGTAAGGCCATGAAACAGTACGGTGGGAACTGGCTCACTGGAAGAGTGGGTCCTCTAGGGAACTGTCGACCTTTCTTTGTGCTCCAAAGATATTTCATATAAATCACTTCCTGGACTATATAATTTCGGCAATCAGTTCACATGCCCCCTCTATTGCCATCCACGACCCCATAGCATCCTCTATTCCTCTCATGCAATTTTACATGAAGCTTTGGAGTCCAGTGCTGGTATCCATGAAGTGTCCAATAAATCTTTATTGGAGAAAAGAAAAAATGAATGAGTGCATGAATGAATGAATGTCCTTAATGGAAGTCTGCACATCTAGGCTAACAAGTTTGATGAATGAGACTTATAACAATCAAAGGAAGAAGAAGAAGTTAAAAGGACAGATGCTATTTCATAAAAATGATAAAATATGTACTGTATATATATTTGTTACTTAAGGCCCAAAATGACTATGAATAATAAATGTAGGCATTATTTATGGGTACAAAGGTAAATGCATTATTTACCCTAGAGGCTGGAAGTACTCTTTCTAAGCCATTACTATCTTCATGGGTCAATATATTTTTGGCACACACAATCAGGTAGAAAATGTGAAGTATGTGTCTGCCAAATAGTAACAAAGTATAGTTTAACCGAGTCAGTGGTATCAGCTCCTTCAGTGCCTACTTAATTAAGAGGATTGTAGTTCTCATCTATCTAAACAGTTCTTTCCACAGTTTGGGTAAATGGTTCATATATACAGTGAAGAAGGCTGTACAAGATCAGTTACTTGATTTTAGAAAAGAAAATTAAAACTTCGTGTGATGTAATATTTTTTCTGGAAAGAAAAGGATATAAGGATAAAAATTTAGGATCATGCCAAACAAGCAATTAAAAATTGTGTAAAGAAGATTATTTTTTTAAAGGGGCGTGGGGGTGTGTGGAGTGGATCTGAAAGAAATGGAGCTGGCCGCCAGAAGGAAATAGCCCCGAGGAGCCTCACTAAAAAGAGGAGGTGCTACAGGGGCGGGAAAGGGAAGAGCTTAAGCAACAGGAGCCAGAGTCCAGACAGCAAGATGGAAAGGCATGCTGCAGCGTAACACTGAGAGCATCTTGGTGAGGTGCCCTATGGATCAAAAACCAATTCAAATACCAACGACAAAGAACGCATTACCTAGGAATCCCATCACACCCCCCCCCCTCCCAAAATAACCAAAATGTCTACTGAGGATGAGCTTTTGAATAAAGAAACACTCCTTGGGCTCAGGGATAATGCTCGTTGATCTTTGAGCTAGTTGTTGCTATCTACCAGACCAGGGGTGGAGGGCCACTGACTTCTAGCTTCCGAAGATCCTTCAGAGAACGGAGAACCAGTCACAGGGTCCGAAACCACCCTCGCCTTGCTTTGTGACCTACAAGTCCACAAAGGGGATCAAAAGATGCTTCTGTGTCGAAAAGTATGACTTTGATCTAAATTCATGATCGCGTACAAAACTATGAATAGTAACAAATGTTTAGGACCTTTAAAAATCCTTAAATCCGAGGTTTTATCATGAAATCACCTACTTACCTTTAACAGAAGATTCCTGCCTGCTGCCAGCTCTTTACCATTCAGATCTCACTGATACCATTACCTCGGAGCATTTGCAAATCAGTGACAGTATGCAAACTTGTTTTGTGCCACTAAGTCAGTTCTGACCCAGAGGGGCAGAACGAAACACTGTCCGATCCTGCGCCACCCTCACCATGTGCCTATACTGGAGCCACAGTGCCACGCCATCTCCTGACGGGCCTTCCTTTTTTTGGCTGCCCCTCTACTTTACCAAACATGATGTCTTTACTAGGGACTGGTCTCTTCTGAGAACATGTCCAAAGCATGTAAGACGAAGAAGTCTCACCATCCTTGCCTCCAAGGAGCACTCTGGTCTTCCTTCTTCCAAGACAGATCAGTTTGTCCTTTTAGCAGTCCATGGTACCTTCACTGTACTTGCATATGATATCAGTGATATTGTTGATTGCAAACTAGCCACTAACTTAACTCTTAATTCTTTAATCACCTGAGCTAAAAAGTGAAAATTTCATGCATTGTGTAAGCATATCAATTTTATCTGAGATCTTATCTGCTATTTTTGCAATGAAAGGGAACTAAAAACTACAAGTAATAGCAAGTGAAACATAATCACACTAAGAAGTAACAATTGTATAGGGAAGCGTCTAAATTAATAAAGTGAAAACAGTGGCTAAGGATAGGGGCTCTAAACATACTAAAATCCACTGCCATTGAGTTGATTCCAACTCATAATGCCCTAAATAGGGTTTCCAAGGCTGTAAGTTTTTACAGGAGCCTCATCCTTCTCCTGTGGAGCAACTGGTGGATTTGATCTACTGGCTTTGTGGTTAGCAGTCCAACACTTACCCTACAATACTACCAGGGCTCTTTCTGAACCTTAGGTTCAAAGTCCAGGTCTGCTATTTACTAGCTCTGTGATCTTAAAGAACATATTTAACCTCTCTAGGCTCATTTTTCCTAAGAGTAAGGTAAACGAAGCTAGGGTTATTGGGAGTTAAAGGAGTTAATATAGCTAAAGTGCTTAGAACAATGTTTATCCACCCACTGTCATTAAATCAATTTTGACTCACATGATCCCATATAGGGTTTCCAAGACTGTAAATCTAACAAGTAAACTCTATTTCCATGTTCTTTCTTAGGTCCCTTGATATGCATAAATAACATTTATATATATGTATAAATACAATATGTATAAATAAACATTGTTAGTTTATTGGAAGAGTACCCAGCACCTAGAAAACTCTATTTCCGTGTTTGCTGTTATTTAAATATGGAAAGGGAACTAAGAAAGGTGTTTTATATATATATTTAATTTTTTAATCTAACTTTTCCCTTCTAAACTCCCACAATCCTATGGTCTTAACTTGTCCACAAACTTTCCAACTCTAAACCTGGATGATATGTAGTTCCCAAGGTGAAAGGTCATGCAGGATGAAAGTTATCTTGCTCAACTTCCTAATTCAATAAAACACAACTGTGTTAACTTTTCAGAACATTTTGGGATTTAAAGCATTTGTCAAAGAACAAAACAGAATTATAAATTAATCTTATATTACACTTTTTTTAATCCGCAGCTGTTCTTTCTCCATTGTCTTCAATTTACAGAGAATGATCTGTACTCCAAACCCCGAAAAGGATAAAATGGCAACAACAAACACGTCACACAACAGAAGTCGGTATGATTGAGGTCAACACTACCTTTCTCGCTTCCATAATAATAGAAGACCGTTTTACTGAGAGCACACCACCGTTTCTGCCATTCGAATCCTAGAAAGCTGTGATCTACAACAAAGGGGGAGGAAAAAGAATACAATTTAGATAACACACACTATATACATCAATGTACAGCCATTTCCTTATGCATAACAGGAAGCCAGGTGTAAGCCCAATGTTCTTCTTAGCTCTAAAAATCTATGACTAATTATTTCATATCTTCTACTCAAAAAGCTAAAAAAATTTTAAAAAGTTGAACAGAACAGAGTAAAGAAGAAGGATGGGCTGCCAGACGTAAGAGAGCACCTGACAGCGGCCATCAAACAGGCACCTGGCTAGATAGCCTGGACAAATTTGATTATCTAGGTCTCATTTCATACCTGTTGACCTAGATTACTTCGATGGCCTCTTTTGACCTTAAAATTCAGCTAAGAGAAGCAAATAGAACATAAATAAAAAGGCCCAAAGGGCCAACCTGAGAGACAGAATGGGAGTGACGAATTTCTGATTTTCATTTCCTTTATCATAACACCACCTCCACATTTCATGTCCATTATAAATGGGTGTTGAAAGAGTAATTACCACAGCCCATGAAGAGCAACACTGAAATGAGTCACAGAAAATGGCGGACAATATGCCAGGCTTGAACTCAACCCTAACAGACATGGTATATGCCAAGGCCGGTGCAGAATAACCTGCTGCTCAGCCAGGTGGGATAATGGTGAGAAGTCCCATCCTTGAGAACACAGACATGGCACACAGCTTTCCTCTCTAGAGGAAGTAGCTCTTGAATCACTTATAAATAACCATGGCTGACAACTAAAAACCTGACCAAACATTTGGTCATTCAAGTTCATTTGAAGCTAAAAGCTGCATGAGTATTTCATGGTTTGGATCATGGCACCCAGATTTGCTCACAGCTTTAAACCTCTTCTCAACCACCTGAGGAGAACACTGGCTCCACACACATTTTACCGAAGGCTAAAACCATTTCTGAAGTTTGCTAGAATCTTGCAGTCTAGTTTACCTTTCCTGCGTTTTTCAAGGTAGCCAGCCTTCAAAACAAAAGGCAGATCCTGGGCTGCAATCGGAGGAAACTGGTTTCCTGTGGGGAGAGGGGGTGGGAAAAATAAGGCTGTCGTAAATCCATTTTAGAAAAACCAAATGCCAAATCTCATTAGATTCCTGTCCTTTGAATTACCTAAATGGCTTTAGGCCATGACTATTCGCTTTGTTCCAGATCCATTCTATAGCCTCATCCCTCTCCTCCCACCAAAAGGGGGGAATGTGCTGTACTCCTCTATCTTCATATATTAGTCTCTCAAAATGCAGCAATACTACGTAACTGAATGATCTATGATGCTGTTTGATCAAATTCTACAAAACAAAGACTAATAAATAAATGCATTAAATCTCTGAAAGAGGTATTAGGAATTTTAAAGAACTCACATAAAGTTCTTCAAATTTATATTGGATTAATTCCCCAAGAATTTGAATGCATATTGACTCTTCTCTGCACAGCCCTATTCCCACTGAGTAGAATACACGATGATTTCCCCCAAAACCAAATGCTAAAATGTGACTTTTCAGGATCCATAGCAAATATTCTCTCCCCTGCTTGTCTTCACAGAGAAAGGCTTTAAGTGAGTTTGCTTTAGGCTCCTCCAGGGCATTTTAAAGTCTAATGCTAGACAGGTATGTAGGGTAGGACTATTGTTTACCATAAATATTACATATATACCCAGAAAAACGTGAAGGGGCCCTGGTGGTCTAGTAAGCAGTTCAAAACCACTAGCTGCTCCACGGAAGAAAGAGTAGGCTTTCTACTCGGGTAGTTGTTAGGACACCGGAAACCCACAGGGCCGTTCTGCCCTGACCTCCTGGGTCCATGTGAGTTGGAATGGCAGTGAGAGCAGACAAAACACAACAAGGTCCATCTAAAAGTTAGGTCAATTCGAAATTAGAGACTTGTAAACATGGATGATCGCTTCAACAGTTTCCAAGGTATTCTGTAAACTTCATTAGAAATATAATAGTTATCCTCAGCATTGTACTAGAGTTCTAACAAGTAAAACCAATCAAATTAAAGTTGCTGTGGAATACACCCAATGGAAAGTTTTAATTATAGCATATAATAGAGCAAGTATTTTGATTAGGAAGCTTATTACATACAAATTCGTCACAGAATTATCAGCTTTTAATTGCTATTTTTGGTATCAGAAGTATCACAGTAGTTATGGAGTCACAGGTATTTTTCCTTAGGAAATAAAGTTTAAAATTAAAACACTAATTTCAGTTCCCTAGTAGATCAATTTTGCTGAGTGAAACAAACACCACCATTAAATTATGCTTTACACAGAATACTAATTTTGAAATCTATATATAAATCCTAAAGAAAGTCAGTATTGATACTGAATTCAATAACCATATTTGTTTCTCTTTAATAAATGGGATTCATAAAAAGTTTATTATTTATGATAATACTTCATACATAAAATAAAGAACACTTGGAGAAAAGTATGGATGTGAACAAATCCAATTCAATTACTAAGTAATAACTCTTGGGTTAGCTTATTAAAAACTATGAGCTTGTGAATAAAATGCTAACCTCTAGGGACATTTGGATCCCAGATACTGTCTCGTCCCTACTGAGTTACTAGAGCTAGGAGAGCTGTCTATTTGAATTCATTGTGACCCTGTTATAATTTTGCATGTCTTACATTCCCCAAATGCAAGCTGCATGAAGACTCACTGCCTGCTTCCTCTTGAAGAAGGCTAGTGTCAATGCCCAAGACGTTCAGCTGCTTTCGAAAAACGGGACCATCACATGAGACATATGACCATTTATAAAACTGGTTTTCCTCAGTACATATCTTATTTATACGGGGTACAGAAAGCTTGTGGCTGAACAACTCCATATAATAATCATCTGCAGTAAAACAGGCTAGCCTACAGTACGAGTCACATTTCCTGTCTTCTTAGTTGGGCTAGAATTTGTTCATGCACCACTTTCACCAAACCAAAAAGGAAATCTTTAGTTGCTTTTAAAATAACTACAGCACTTCACTCCTGCCTGTATAGGTTTACATTTGCTTCAAACTCCCTGGTATCCTTTTGTACCTGCACTCATGTTTCTCTCTCTTTTACACACACACACACACACACACACACACACACACACACACACACATCTCTCACACACAGAGTATAAACCGACCCAAATATCAGCCGAGGCACTTAATTTTACCATAAAAATGTGCTGACAACTCGGCTTGCACACGAGCATCTACAGTAGATCCCAAACTGACATTTGTAAAAGCATCTGCCTTTCTAGAGTGCAGTGTGAGGTACCTTCCAAGGGCCAGTGGAAAGGGAGGGTGACTTTTCACTTGTTAATCCGCAGTCCTACCCACCTAGGCCTGCAGTTGACTTTGTACTAAGTGGCCTTCATGTGTACTTGGGTCTTTAGATGAAGTATGGATATATGTCAAGGGATATAGTGATATAGAGATTTTTTTTTTAAGAATAGACATGTTTTTCATTATCCTTTTTATGTTTTTACTTTTTATTTCAGTGACCAATTTAAATCTGTGACTTCTAAGGAATCCAAATCCTCATTGCTACTATTTTATTGATGAATTATTACAATATTATGAACAATATTATGAAGTCTATTTAGTCAAATATTTTGTCTGTCACCATATGACATAACTTTTCTTCTGTGAACTGAAAAAAGTTAGAAATAAGTCCCTCAACAATATCCTTTTTTCTTCTCAATTCATAGTGAACGAAACCATTCCTGAGTTCACCTTCACCTCCCAAATGCTTCATTTTTGCCCCACAGTTGGGATACTGAGTGTTATCAATTGGCCACCTCCTGGGGTGGGGTTGTGCTTTCTTTGTTATTTTCTACACTCCTCAGGGCTAAACTTGGGTGGGGAGGGGGGCGTTCCTAGTCAATCTGGTATTCCTGACCTTGATAACAGATCAATTTTTTTCACAAGTGTTGACACTCAGGAGCTTTGTTTTGTATCTAAAACACATTTTAGTCTTCAGCTCTCTACATTCAGAATACTAATCCTTTTAGTCCCTCATTTCAGCTGGTACCCTCCCCTACCTTGCACACCTGAGTAGTTATTTACTATCACAAGAAGTACATACTAGTGGTGGTGCTGCAGGTGAGGTGTTAGGTGGCAAACATCACAGTTTTTAAGAAGAGGAGAGAGTAAACGGGAATGCGGTGGAGAAGGTACTCCCACCACATCATACTGGTGGAATTAGACCTCTGGTTTGGGACCTGGAGACAAAGACACAGCATGAATCCTGGGGCACAGGAACAACACCTATGAAAGGGAAAGTCAACCCAATAGCAGAAGGTCTGCCATTAGTGGAATAAAATTTAAATTTACACCCCACAGAGCCCTTATATTAGCTGGGGGCCCTTCAGTGCTCCAGACTGAAGTACCCCTTTAGTAAACGCATTCCTTCCACTCAAACCTTGTCTCGGATTTTGGTGAGTACTGTCCCGAATCTGGATACTTTCTGGCAAGCAGGGCAAGAACCACAAACGAAGGGGATTGAAACCTCAAACTCCCTCCCAGTCAGAGTAGGCAACTAAAGAAAAATAGACCCAACCTTATGGAAATTTTATTTTAAACATGCTAAAAGTCAAATATTTAAGTGCAAAATATAAAGATGGACAATAATTGGTCCTACATCTTCTTTCCTGGCTTTTACTATCTTTATATTAAACCCAACTTTTTCTCTATCAAAGTATAAGTTTTAGTCTGCTTTTTCAATTGTCAACAATGGCATGGTTATGAACATCAGCATGGATTCAATGAGTGTGGCAGTTACATAATCTTCTGTCAACTTGTAAAGGGGTGGAGTCTAGCCTGTCAATCAGGTCATAGCCAATAAGACCTTTGTGTGGGCATGGCCTTCTCCTGAGGATTCTGGGAACTCCGATCTTCCTCCCTGGAGGTGGGAGACAGACACTCTGTTTGTCTCTTGCTGTGAGACATTCCTTGTGCCAAGCCACATGAAGCTATGCTGATGGCAGCCAGAGCCTTGGAGCTGGAGGAGCCAAGTGGAGACCCACACACTCCACTGCTCAGATGCTTCCACTGCCACTGGATCCATAAGACTTTCCTCCCACTGGCCTGTGATCTTCCTGCATTCAGCATCATTGCATGTGTTTCATGAGTCTGAAGAGGAATTTATAGATTGATATCGGACATATATGCTAATATCGGACTTGTGGATTTGATCTGGACTAGGCTACGATGTTTTCTCAATATACAATTGCTCTTTGATACAAAGTGCTCTTACACAGATGAGTGTCTCTGAATTTCTCTAGTCTACCCAGACTAACACAGCAAAGTACTGAGAAGTGTAACTGTTAGCACAGGTGTAAAGCATGATACAGTCATCATCTCATTTCATCTTCCCATAACCCCAATATATTCCTGGGTTCATGTTATCAATAGGAAATCAAGGCCCCACACAGTAAGTGGGAGAGCCAAGGCCCAAGGTTTGTCACCTCAATAAAGCCTATTTTCTGAAACTGCTAAAGCAGTTAAGAAATGTGATCTATAGAAAATACATAAGTATTATTGAATTAAGGTCATTATGATTATTTAAAATTAATTTATAAACAGCAAGATAATATGTGCAAAAATGTCACACTTTTAAAGAAGGGCTTGTTTAACTTTCTATATGATTTTAGAGAGGTAAATTTTGCTTTCAGGTAATGTCTTTTTTATTAAGTTTTTTAAATTAAAAAACATATACATAAGTAGAAAAAAACTGATAATGGGAAAACTGATATTTATTAAGTCTGAGTAAGTGATAATGCTTTTTGTATGGTTATTTCTCCAGCAAACTGTGTAGAAAAAAGAAATGAATCTAAGCTCAAGTCTTTAGCTCATTTTTATTCAGCTGTCTTACCTCTACATGGGCCCCAGACTTTTTTTTTTTTTTTGCACCCTTTATGGGTGAGTTGTAAGCAATAATTTTTTTAAAGTATGGATAATATTTTTATAACAGGTAGCATTCATTAAGGCGCCCTGATGGTGCAGTGGTTAAACACTCAATTGCCAATCA